GTAGTAGGGTAGGGTATACTCGGTATATCCTGTATTTCAATATTGTATACCCGGTAGTAGGGTAGTAGGGTAGGGTATACCCGGTATATCCTGTATTTCAATACTGTATACCGGTAGTAGGGTAGTTGGGTAGGGTATACCCGGTATATCCTGTATTTCAATACTGTTTACCCGATAGTAGGGTAGTAGGGTAGGGTATACCTGGTATATCCTGTATTTCAATACTGTATACCCGGTAGTAGGGAAGTAGGGTAGGGTATACCCCGTATACCCTGTATTTCAGCACCTCATTGATATTATTAGTTCCATTACAATTGTTCTTAACGAACCGAAAACCCGCTAAATTAGACCGTAGCTTACATTACCTGGGGATTAGTTCTATGTAACTAACTGAATACGGGTAATAGCATTAGCCCTCATCAAGCTGCTATCATCTTATTTAAACTTGTAGCTACTGTAGTATCCGTTCCAAAGCACGTAACATGAGTACCCGGACCTGATCCATTACTGTCCATTGTCTCTGTGAACTTAAGCAATTTTATTAAGAGCGACAAATTTGCTTGACTTACAGTGAAACTAAAACTCTTGGGTTTCCCTGATACCTAAACCCTAACACTAACTCTAGCCTCAAACTTCATATAACCACAACCCTATTAACCCTATTTAACCAAACCCCAACCCTTATCTATCGGAATTTGTGATTTATTTTTTAACAAAGAAAAAAAACGCTTGTCTGTGGAATTACGAGCAAAAGCTGTTTTGCTCCTGCTAGAATCAAGACTGCCACGTGACTTAAACAGAAACAATTCTTTAACATCCCTCAGTTCATCACGTTATGTTATTATTATTATTATTTGTTAAATGCGAACGTCTGTCCCTGGTCTGGAGTGAATCAACGCTATACACTTCAACGCCTAAAAAATACAGTATAACTATTATAAATTATGCCGGATATTATTCACTAATTCAGTTGAAAGCCTTCTTTCATTATTTTAAATGAGTGTCATAAGAGGTGTTAAGATCGTGTTTTTATTCGCTCCCTGGAATCTTACATAAGGATCAGTATAGTATTATTAAAATTGTTTAAGAAACCCCGGGTTTTTTAGAAATCGGTCAACGGCCGCCAAATTTTAAAAAATGCCAAAATTAAAATTCTGATGTCATTTCATGCATATAATATATATATATATACATATTTTTCATGCACAAATATAATCAGTGGCTGAGTACTATTATTTTGAACCAATTTTGCAATATCTGTTTTTATTCGCTCCCTGGAATCTTATATAAGAATCAGTAGGCATGCAGTTTCCATGACAACAGGCCATGTCTCGAGTCTCGACGCGCCATAATTGCCCGAAACAAAGGTGGCAGTGGAAAATATCCAGCCTAAAATATATACTGCATCTAGTCCGAATAGTTGATGAGACAAGTGTCAGCATGATTGGTAGTTGCACTCCCCTCCTTCCCTTCGTAAAGGTTATATGTTCATGCAAGGAACATCTTTTTCTATGTGATTTTGATTGTTTATATGCGCTTAGTCAATAAAGACACCGTTATTGTTATGTTATTGTTACCAAGTTCAAACATATTAATTGAAACACTCGATATTTTTTTGAGGTTTCGTTGAATGATTTCCTGTTTAAAATGTTTGATGCTTTCTTATCGAGTAAGTCATCTCACAATTCTCACCTGCATGTTTTGTGACTGCGTTGAAAATATTAAAAGTAGCTTTGAAAGAAGGTATTGCTGAGATACTGAATATAAGCAGGGTGGGAATTACATGTAATGTAGGAGACAGATTAACCACGATTCATTATACCTTTTATTGTAGATCATTTTTATCGATATCTGCACCTCTCCGCAAATCGCATAACTTTGTTATATTTAACAAATTTCGCTCACAATTTCTTTGCTATTACCAACGAATGTGGCGCGCTGAAAATCATGCAACTATTTATTGACTAGTTGTGCATGTTCATCCAGCATGGATATTTAGCCTGGGGTCCCCAGGTAAGGATATTTAGCCTGGGGGCTGGGGTCCCCAGGTAAGGATATTTCAGTGCAATCAGTAATCACCACAGCGTGTGTATATCGGTAAAAGAGCAGTCGTTCCTTCAATTTCTTTAGCTTCTTACCTCAGCTAGTGTTTATTAAACACAGAAACACGTACAAAGTGTCAAGTCATCACAACCGGACTATTAAAGTTAAACCGCGCTCTTCTTCCCTAACTCTACCAACTACTTACAGTACTATTACAACTACTTACGGAAACCAGACAGATACGCCACTACTTTGATAAATGTTCTTTCTATCTGTGTTGGTCTAGCAGTACTACTAGTACTACTGCTACTACTACTACCAGTACTACTAGTACTACTAGTAGTATTGGTAGCTACTAGTAGTAGTACTACTAGTAGTAGTAGTACTAGTAGCAGTACTAGTAGCAGTTCTCATGTAACTGAGGCGCAACAGAGCACACTCTGTTGCGCCTCAGTTACGTGATGAATTTACTAGTATTGTAGGTGTGCAGATTTGAAATTGTGCACATAGAGGTCAGAGGACAGACAATTGACGCGGAATCCTATGCGTACGTGTAACTATCATGGTAACTAATACTACGGTAACTATGGTAACTACGCAACACACTGGTACGTGATTATAGTACGTGTGTAGCTATGATACGCACTACTCCCGTAATGGAGACCCAACATGCTGATAAAAGAGTTACTGTTCTTAAATATTAAGTAGTTGTTTATTTAAACTTAAAGCAGTAGAATTGCACATTCAGGCTAAATAAAGTGGCTCTAGTCGTTCTGCCCTTTTTGCTTCATAAATTGTATGTAGATGCAGTACAGGGTATACATATACTGTATAATTATTGTGAACATTTTGCACCTATTCTCAAGGACCTTTATAACCTAATTTTGCGGGTATTTCTATAATTGAGCGAATTTCGGCACCTGGAATTGGTTTTTCTTCTCAACTAATTGTAAATAAATATGCTCATTCCAATTAGTTTACACTTACGGAGAAATGTTCACATGATAAGTTAGCAAAATTGAGCTCATCGTCAAGCCAAAATCAGTTTTTGGCCAATTACTCAATATAAGCCATTATAGTGACCCAAATATTGGTAACTAGTCAAGTTTTATTAAATAATGCCTAAAGTACCATATTCCGTGTTTAAGTTCTCAGAACACTGGCTCTAAAGAAGTGAACATTTTACTGGGGATTAATGTACTCAGTGCTCAGTGGTCAGCAGTGGCGTTACCTGTTGGTCAGACCTGTTGCTGTGAAATTATTCTACATCTCTCGAATTGTATTGCACCTCTATATTAATTGTACTTTTCATTGAGAAATGAGACGTCGTAACCTTATCTAGTCAGGTAACAGGTTTTTGTTTATTAAACCAAATTGAAATATTTCAAATATTAACACAACCAAGATCTAAGAACTGTTAGTCTAGGTGTACTTACCACCTAGTTACCACCTAGTTACCACTTACCACCTAGTTACTCAGTTAGTCGAGTAAACGTACTTAAATAGAATGTGAGAATTGTACCGTTTAACCGGGGAGATTATACCACGCTACCCTGTATTATAATGCATAGATTGAGAGACCAGCAATAATCCTCTTTAAGGACAATGGAGAGCAATTAAAATTAGAGTAGCTACACTAGCAGTGCACTAGTGCTACACTAGCAGTGCACTAGTGCTAGTACTGTAATATGTAACGGTTATATGGATAGATCCAGTTAATCTCCCCGACTGGATTGCGTGAATCCTTTTAGTATTAATTAGTTCACAAGGGCGTCCCTAAACACAGGTACTACCTACTATACCTGCAGAATGCAGATGTCTCCTTTTCAGTTGCAAATTTGTCCATTATAGCTGTTTTAGCCCCTGCCCCACAGCTCGCAGTATGGCTGTGTTAGCCCCTGCCCCAGAGCTCGCAGTATAGCTGTGTTAGCCCCTGCCCCGCAGCTCGCAGTATAGCTGTGTTAGCCCCTGCTCCACAGCTCGCAGTAAAGCTGTGTTAGCCCCTGCCCCACAGCTCGCAGTATAGCTGTGTTAGCCCCTGCCCCACAGCTCGCAGTATGGCTGTGTTAGCCCCTGCCCCACAGCTCGCAGTATGGCTGTGTTAGCCCCTGCCCCACAGCTCACAGTATGGCTGTGTTAGCCCCTGCCCCACAGCTCGCAGTATAGCTGTGTTAGCCCCTGCCCCACAGCAGTATGGCTGTGTTAGCCCCTGCCCCGCAGCTCGCAGTATGGCTGTGTTAGCCCCTGCCCCACAGCTCGCAGTATAGCTGTGTTAGCCCCTGCCCCACAGCTCGCAGTATAGCTGTGTTAGCCCCTGCCCCACAGCTCGCAGTATGGCTGTGTTAGCCCCTGCCCCACAGCTCGCAGTATGGCTGTGTTAGCCCCTGCCCCACAGCAGTATGGCTGTGTTAGCCCCTGCCCCACAGCTCGCAGTATGGCTGTGTTAGCCCCTGCCCCACAGCTCGCAGTTATATGGCTGTGTTAGCCCCTGCCCCACAGCTCGCAGTTATATGGCTGTGTTAGCCCCTGCCCCACAGCTCGCAGTATAGCTGTGTTAGCCCCTGCCCCACAGCTCGCAGTATAGCTGTGTTAGCCCCTGCCCCACAGCTCGCAGTATGGCTGTGTTAGCCCCTGCACCACAGCTCGCAGTATGGCTGTGTTAGCCCCTGCCCCACAGCTCGCAGTATGGCTGTGTTAGCCCCTGCCCAACAGCTCGCAGTATAGCTGTGTTAGCCCCTGCCCCACAGCTCGCAGTATGGCTGTGTTAGCCCCTGCCCCACAGCTCGCAGTATGGCTGTGTTAGCCCCTGCCCCACAGCTCGCAGTATGGCTGTGTTAGCCCCTGCCCCACAGCTCGCAGTATAGCTGTGTTAGCCCCTGCCCCACAGCTCGCAGTATGACTGTGTTAGCCCCTGCCCCACAGCTCGCAGTATAGCTGTGTTAGCCCCTGCTCCACAGCAGTATAGCTGTGTTAGCCCCTGCTCCACAGCAGTATGGCTGTGTTAGCCCCTGCCCCACAGCTCGCAGTATGGCTGTGTTAGCCCCTGCCCCACAGCTCGCAGTATGGCTGTGTTAGCCCCTGCCCCACAGCTCGCAGTATGGCTGTGTTAGCCCCTGCCCCACAGCTCGCAGTATGGCTGTGTTAGCCCCTGCCCCACAGCTCGCAGTATAGCTGTGTTAGCCCCTGCCCCACAGCTCGCAGTATGACTGTGTTAGCCCCTGCCCCACAGCTCGCAGTATAGCTGTGTTAGCCCCTGCTCCACAGCAGTATAGCTGTGTTAGCCCCTGCTCGACAGCAGTATGGCTGTGTTAGCCACTGCCCCACAGCTCGCAGTATGGCTGTGTTAGCCCCTGCCCCACAGCTCGCAGTATGGCTGTGTTAGCCCCTGCCCCACAGCTAGCAGTATAGCTGTGTTAGCCCCTGCCCCACAGCAGTATGGCTGTGTTAGCCCCTGCCCCACAGCTCGCAGTATAGCTGTGTTAGCCCCTGCCCCACAGCTCGCAGTATGGCTGTGTTAGCCCCTGCCCCACAGCTCGCAGTATAGCTGTGTTAGCCCCTGCCCCACAGCTCACAGTATAGCTGTGTTAGCCCCTGCCCCACAGCTCGCAGTATAGCTGTGTTAGCCCCTGCCCCACAGCTCGCAGTATGGCTGTGTTAGCCCCTGCCCCACAGCTCGCAGTTATATGGCTGTGTTAGCCCCTGCCCCACAGCTCGCAGTTATATGGCTGTGTTAGCCCCTGCCCCACAGCTCGCAGTTATATGGCTGTGTTAGCCCCTGCCCCACAGCTCGCAGTATAGCTGTGTTAGCCCCTGCCCCACAGCTCGCAGTTATATGGCTGTGTTAGCCCCTGCCCCACAGCTCGCAGTTATATGGCTGTGTTAGCCCCTGCCCCACAGCTCGCAGTTATATGGCTGTGTTAGCCCCGGCCCCACAGCTCGCAGTTATATGGCTGTGTTAGCCCCTGCCCCACAGCTCGCAGTATGGCTGTGTTAGCCCCTGCCCCGCAGCTCGCAGTATGACTGTGTTAGCCCCTGCCCACAGCTCGCAGTATGGCTGTGTTAGACCCTGCCCCACAGCTCGCAGTATGGCTGTGTTAGCCCCTGCCCCACAGCTCGCAGTATAGCTGTGTTAGCCCCTGCCCCACAGCAGTATGGCTGTGTTAGCCCCTGCCCCACAGCTCGCAGTATGGCTGTGTTAGCCCCTGCCCCACAGCTCGCAGTTATATGGCTGTGTTAGCCCCTGCCCCACAGCTCGCAGTATGGCTGTGTTAGCCCCTGCACCACAGCTCGCAGTATGGCTGTGTTAGCCCCTGCCCCACAGCTCGCAGTATGGCTGTGTTAGCCCCTGCTCCACAGCTCGCAGTTATATGGCTGTGTTAGCCCCTGCCCCACAGCTCGCAGTATGGCTGTGTTAGCCCCTGCTCCACAGCTCGCAGTTATATAGCTGTGTTAGCCCCTGCCCCACAGCTCGCAGTATAGCTGTGTTAGCCCCTGCTTCACAGCTCGCAGTATGGCTGTGTTAGCCCCTGCTCCACAGCTCGCAGTATGGCTGTGTTAGCCCCTGCCCCGCAGCTCGCAGTATGGCTGTGTTAGCCCCTGCCCCACAGCTCGCAGTATGGCTGTGTTAGCCCCTGCCCCACAGCTCGCAGTATAGCTGTGTTAGCCCCTGCCCCACAGCTCGCAGTATAGCTGTGTTAGCCCCTGCCCCACAGCTCGCAGTACGGCTGTGTTAGCCCCTGCCCCACAGCTCGCAGTATAGCTGTGTTAGCCCCTGCTCCAGAGCTCGCAGTATAGCTGTGTTAGCCCCTGCCCCACAGCAGTATGGCTGTGTTAGCCCCTGCCCCACAGCTCGCAGTATGGCTGTGTTAGCCCTTGCCCCACAGCTCGCAGTATAGCTGTGTTAGCCCCTGCCCCACAGCTCGCAGTATGGCTGTATTAGCCCCTGCCCCACAGCTCGCAGTATAGCTGTATTAGCCCCTGCCCCACAGCTCGCAGTATGGCTGTGTTAGCCCCTGCCCCACAGCTGTGTTATATTACTACTCCACAGATTTAGTTTACAGCAATTTTAGTCAACAAAATTGACTGAATTCATGGTAGATAAAAGAAATCGTTCTTAAGCAGCTCTCTGCTATATACTAGTATACAAAAACATGTGGATACTAGTTATTGGGGAGGTGCCAATTAATAGTATCTAATATAATTACGTGTAATAAGGTTTATCGCCCCAAAACTAGGGTTCACCGTAATATCCACATTTATGTATAAAAATTACCCGAATACTGGCGAGTTATTACTCAATCAGTTTGGGATCTTGATATATCACAAAACACAGTAAAATAATGACACTATTAATCTGACCCAATTATAATATACAGTAGAGACAGTGTATAGTCTCCATAGAGAGACATGCACGTGGGCGTGGTCACGTGGGCGTGGTCACGTGCACTAACGACTTGATAAGTATCACGTCACAAAGTTCTTAAGACTGACCGCCATAAAGTTGTAATTGATGATGATATAGAGGTCAGAGACAGGTGCCTTTTTGCGGTTCCATGATATGTAATAGTTTAAGTTATGAGTGTTAGAAGTAATAGTTCATGCTATCTGTCAACGTATACCAGTTACGCTCGTCAACTTGTCCATTTACGATATACATTATCACCGAACCATTAAACGATTCCAGCTAGTTCACCGTTTCGGACCTTTGTTTTTATATCATAGAATCAATTATCTTCAACTCATAAGTTGGTAACATTTACCTGAGTAATATGACCAGTCCTTCAGTATGTATTAATTTATATCGTAATAAACAAACTACATAATACTATGCGTCTGATTAAAGTTAATTCTGAGATCACGAGACCTAGTCCAGACTAAAGACTTGCCAGGCCTAATACAACCAAGCTGATGGTTAAAAAATATCTGGAATCATGATGAATCTTCCGTCTTATTCTTGGGCTATAACTTATATCAAAAGCCTATTTTGTAACTGCGAAGTGCGATTCGCATTTTGAGATGAAATCAGCTCAGATAATTGAAAGAATTGTTTTGATATCATGTATTATAAATGTCGATTGATAAAATGTTAAACTCCTAGTTTTGATAACAGCATCCTCATATGACCAGGAGCAGGACTCTATGACCGGGATACCATACAAATAACAATAATAAAAAGTGAGCTGCTGCTGACAATAGTTTAACAGTTCTTGTTTACTTTGGGATTGTGACGTAATAAAACCTTGTTAGCGGTAATTGTCCTTGAAGCGGCTCTTCAAAAGTTCAAACCTGAGTAACTGAGTAACTGAGTAGAGTCAGTAGAGTTTTGGCTGAAGTTCTATTGTCATCGTACGTTTTATTATTGGTATTTATTGTTTAGAGGACACACAAAGTTTTATATTGTCATCAGCTTCACTTTTTATTGTTAAACATTTCTTTTATGCAGACTACTCCAATAATTAGCTCTATTTTGAATATTCGTTGCGGTAATTAAGTTGTAACTTTGGAGTTCCCAGCTCATGTTATATTTCCTTTAGATCGAGTCTCAACTAACCCGCTTTAGTCTTGTTGGATTAAACTAGTGTCTCATTTCCTAACAATCCTAATAAAAGTCTATACAAAAGGTGGGTTGTGAGACAGCAAGGGTAATGAAAGCACTAATATTGTTAGGAGGTGTACCGTCTAACATTGAGGTGATATCTGTTATTACCTCTGTCAACAGTCTCTTGTAATATTCGACATATATGGTAAATTGATAGGGATAACTGAGTTAGCAGAAACCTGTGTCATCGGCTTTCTCGTATTTATTTCTCACGACTATAAACATGGTCCTTAAAAACTATTAAACTAACTGAACTCTCACTTTTCAGGATACTCTTTAACACGTACAATAAACACTAGCTTAAAACCCAGCTTTATTGAAGCTATATTACTGGTATTATAAATCAAGAGGCTTGCATATATTGAACATATTGACATGGGTGCAGAGTTGAGCCTGTACGGAACCTAGTAGTTTCAGTTCATTGTTTAACTTGCCGTATAGCAAGGACATTCACTACTTTAGCCCGGCGAGGCACATAGCTCACTCTGCAACTCCGTGTCAAATGTTTCATATATACTAGCCAAGTTCACAAGATATATCCTTGTGTTTGAGAAGCGCTCATTAGAACTGCTTCTTTTCCCTTCAGTATCCCACAGTCTCTCGAGCTTTGTAACTGCCAGAGAACTCTCTTAAACAATTACTAGACCCGGTGATTATAAATCAAGAGGCTTGCATATAATGAACATATTGACATAGCAGGAACCCGTCTAACCCTAACGTGGTGTCAAGACTCGAAAGATTAAAATAACTATTACTTATTTTTTGACACCACTTAGGGGTCCAAATTTTGGGCACTAAAATTCTTGTTCCTTGGCCAATTTTTTTGTTTTTCATGCTGATTTGAAGGCCATGAAAGTATTTGAACCAGTCAAAAAAGTTTAAGTTGTATATCTTTTACGATTTTTTGCGGAAATTCGTGCTAAAGTTGATGCCATGGTGTCAGTAAAATGGTACGGATAAACATACATATTTATATATATATTTCGTTGCTGTACTCCCACACATTAAAAGTCGGTGTTGATATATCGTCTCGATTTATATATAGTAAGATAGCAACAAATAGCAACACGAGATGCGAATTGGTTTTGCAAACACTCGTCCAAATCGACCTACGACTCGAACCCCCCCCCCTCCCTAGCTCTCAGTCTCACGCCGCTGCCCTTGATTCCTAACCATCCTTTTACTGTTTTGCTTCGCAAACAAAAGTGGATGGAAAATTATCCGCACTGCCTCATGGCAGAGGAGACAATGAATCACTTTATTGGTCAGTACCAAGTGGTCTTTCGAACGAGGAGGATACTTTTACGCCTTCTATCTATATTTACTACTTCTATCTCTTTTATCTATATTTACTCTTTCTATCTCTTCTATCTATATTTACTCCTTCTATCTCTTCTATCTACTTATCTATATTTACTCCTTCTATCTAATTTACTCCTTGTGTGACAGACAAGTTCTCACTACCAAGTGGGATCCAGTCTCATAAACCGGGTTAAACTCTATTTTATAGAGCCCCTTACTTAAATGCTCTATCTTATAGTGGTCATTTTTACCACAGCCCCTTACGAAAAAATCTTTGGAATTATGAGAAGTGTCAAAGATATGTCTCCTTGTGTCATGGTGCTAAGAATATAAATTTTTAAATTATATACTTTTCAAATTTTACTGAGTACATCAATAAATGAATATAAAATAGAATCGTTCAAAATATCGCCCCCATCTGTAAAATAAGATGGGCACCCAAACACGGTTAACACATAGTGAACTTTGTCCGCAATAACTTGGACCCAATATAAGGAATTAATCTAAATCCAAAAATTTATGAACAACTATTTAATAACAAACAAATACATGGTAAATAACTGTGGATATAGAGCTAAAATTGGTATTTTAATAGTCAATACGTCAAATTTCTGATACATTAGATATGGTTTTTAATGTAAATGCAGTTAAAAAGTGTGTGGGGGAAGTGTGATATGATGTAGGGAGTACACAAAGGTAGATAGAGGAAAAAAAATATATATATATATTTTCTATATTATTATAGATATATTTCCTCAAAATTGATGTTAATAAATGATGCAAAGAATTACGAGGATCTAGTCAAAACCGATTTTTTTATTGTGTAGAAGTTCAGCAATGAAATATACATACATATATAATATATATACATGCGGAGCAAAGAGATTAGGCTAGATTGTTCTTTCACTATCCAATAATCATTTCCAAAGATGCTTAGTCACCTCAGATTTGAAAAGACTAGACACAATATGTATTACCTGTAAAGGGAGTCCATTCCACAGTATATGGGTTCTGTAGGAAAATGATTTTGCCAGTGGACTATTTGAGGTACTATTTGAGGTGTGTGAATTCTGACTTAATTTAGGTAAAATTGATGAAACAATAGACAGACTCACAGACTGTGGAGGGGCAACGTCTTAGTCGAGAAGTTCACCCTGATATAAAGAGAGATAGTGAGGCAGTGACACAGGAATTTAATTGTTTAAACCTTTGTGGAAAAATAGATCATTTTAGTCAAACTTTTGAGAAAAAGGAGAATGTCGACAAGCTTGCACTTTTTGACATATTGCTCAGGTGGATAACTGCGGCCCTTTTCAGATAGAATCCATTTAATAGCT